TGTTTTTTAGAAGCAGTTGAGATGCAAATGGAAGTATAAAAATGTTCCAAAAGTTATTTTTGCATTATGTGTCCCCTTTAAAAAAATGCTTGTTAGAAATTACTGGGCATGTTGTGTCAATTATTTTCAACTGGGGATCTTTGGGATTTTAAGAAAACCTCAGTTGACTCACCTTATACAGACCAGCAGTAAGTAGAGCCAGAAAGGCCAATCCTCCCAGAGATCCTCCTATAATCTCTTTAGTGAAATCTGGTTTAGGAAACACTTCTACCTCTGCCTCAATCTGAAAATGAGAGGTTTAAAAGTTTCAAATAAAACCCTTAAAGGTCTGATTGGTACTAAGACATTGACAGTCATATTCTATCACCTGGTGAACAGGAGGGCCACTATTAGAAGTTGTAGAGAAGAAGATGTACTGGTTCTCATCGTACTCTAGACTGGCTGTACTGGTCAGGAGGAACTTGGCAGATGAAAGTCCGATCTGAGACAGAGAAACACATCAGGGATGATGAGCTTTTTTATTGTTTATTCTTTACATTTTACAGCCTAGTCAGTGCATCTATATGAACTTCACATCAATTACCTGTTCTATCCATCCTGAGCTGATGTTTGCAGAGATGGTGTACGTTGTGTCCTTGTTCCTTTCCATGAACTTGGAGCACCTGAACACTCTGCACTTTGCTACAGTGCAGTCCTGTAGCAAAGGTAAAGTTGCATGATATTGATTAAATGTGGGAATTTCAGTTTCAAAAAGACAGTTTAGCAAAGTATTAATTAGTTCTGTGATGTGAACACAATAAAACCTCTGATTAAATTAAAGTTGAAATGTGACATTGTGTGAAAAATATTTGGAAATTGTATAACATTATGTAAACTTTTGAGAGCTAATCCTTTATTAAAAAACACTGCATAAACACATACATACCAATATTTTCTTTTCTTTTATTGTCTTAACAAGATCAGTGACAGTAGGTTCTTCATCTCTGCTGCTCTGACAGCCTGGAATCTGAAAACAGAGCTCCATCACATCAGTTTAAGTCTTACTTATATTTAATTAGTTCTAGTTTGTAGCATTTTTCACCTGAAAGCTGCTCGTGTCCATCCAGATGTCTTTGTCACCAAGTCTTACAGGAACTTTGATCACTACAGTTAAATTTAGTGGTCTGATCGTGTTAAAAACCTAAGAGAAGTGGGAATAAAACACAAAGAACCCAAATTATATAACGACTAATGTTAAATATAGAATATATTTCTGATCTGACTGAGTGAAATCATCTTCTACCTTTATTTTTTGCTCAAGTGGTTTCTGAACAGCATTTTCTCCAAATGTGAAATTGGTGTAGCTGGGGGAGCTGAGCATACATTTCATGCATTCATTTACTAAGATATATTTAAACCATTGTTGATTTTTTTAAAATAATAAATTATTTGCTTCAACTAACAAACCTTTCAATTGTGACAAAAATACTGTACTTGACATCAATCTCCTGTTTTTTGTAGACTTCACTAGAAGGGGAGTGACGCTTATTGTCACTATAAGAGAAACATCAAATAAAAAATTAGATAAAACTTCAGCATCAAAGAGCTGCACCTTAAACTCTTGTGTTGTACCTGGAGGCGTTCGCCGTCACTTCGATCTTTCTACCAAGATCACTGTTGGTGTTGAAACCATAGGAGACGATGAAGGTTGCCTAAAAAGGAAATGAAAGAGAGGGATCAGAAGACTTCCTCTTCTGGTTAAATAATGAATAAAGCAGCAGCACAAACTAACCATAGAGTTGCTTTTGAATATTGGTTTGTTGATGCTACAGACTGTCTTTCCTCTTGTTACGCCATCCTCACTGTCCACAGAGTTGCACTCAATTCTTCCCTGCAGTAAAACAGATCATCAGCTTGTTGCAGCAGCTTCACCAACATAGATTAATATTAGTGCCTCACTTCCAGAGGTGTAACCTTCCTGTAGGAGAGCCCAACAGGGTATGTGAGAGTAATGCGACTGTTGTACGAGTTTTCTCCTCTGTTCTCCACAAAGACGGTCGCACTCAAAAGTTCATCTATGCCGACTTTAACCACTGAGGATCTGAAAAAACATGATAAATGACAGGTGCATAAAGACTGTGATATAATTTACTATCCAGTCTACATTTTGGTCAGACAATGTCGAACATTTAACATTTAATATTATTTAAAATGGGAAAACATCCTACAGGAAAATGTGATTTTTGTTTTCAAGAAGAGGCAGTAAAACATGTCTTATAGTTCTACCCAATTTTTTATCAACTGAGAGAAAGGAACTAGTATGTAGATTACAGGAAAACCAATTGCAGTT